GACTCGGTAGCTGATATTTATCCGATGCCCCAAAAGCAACACTTTCTGTTATTTCCTGCATACCTACTCTTAAATTTTGCTGTGTTTACTTTGGTATGTCTTCATACAACCTAAAATGGTCATTTGACTTTAATTTACGAACGAGGTATAAAACAAACATGTACATTAATAACAAAATACATTGTTGGCAATGTTATTTACTTAGTACTTGGAATGTCATGGAACATCAGCCAGGATCCAATTTGAATTTTGTTTTATCTCAGAAACTGAAAGCTTTATTAGTTCAGTAAATTATATGAATGGTGATAATTATACCTAATAATGTTACCCTGATCCTTTATTATGTCAATAAAGCTAGATTGCCGCCGCTTGTGGGGAATCAGGAAAAGAATACACCTGGTGTTGCTCACTGCATGTATCGTAGGAGGCGACTAATATGGTGACTCCTGCAGAATTGGGGATTTGCTTTGGTGTCCTCTATTTGGGGACGCAAAAGCGACCAACATAAATCTGCTGCACCCATAGCAATCTTTGGGATCTTCATCTTTCTTTCTACTTCTAACTACCTTTTATTTCCTAACGATTTGCTTGGAAACACCTCACTTTTGGCCATTATGTTGAGCGTTCGCCCAGGTGAGGAAGGCAATGGGTTCTGTCCCCAGGCCGGGACATACCAAAGTCCTTAAAATGGTAGTTGTTATTCCCTGCTCAACGTTCAGCATTTCGGGGAATGGCAACAACTAGGTCACCCGTTGTCAGTATAATTTGACCGGGCGGGATGCTGTGCTACGCGCCTTCGGCATGGTATTTCAGTGATGTCAGATAACATGAGGACTTCATTATATCTACAATATGTATTTTTCCGTTTGTACATGTACGTTTTGTACCTAAAAAGGCGTGGATCAAGNATACGTCTCTGACTTTTTATAGACAACACCACAATAGATGAGTGGCAAAACTACATAACATTTTGTGTATCTGTGCTCAATACATGTAAGTGCTACAATATTTCATATTTTGTCATACATGTACGTAGCCTCATCGCCTGGTTCAAGTTCAAGTTCTTTATTACTTTGAGTCGTTCGACTCACCGGGTTACAAAGTAACAAAATTTGTGATATTAACTGTGCAAAATACAAGTTCGTTATTTTTTTGTATTTTTCACACTCAATAATCCTTTCAATTTAAACGTGTTTGGCTTTTTAGGTCACCTGAGACAAAGTCTCAAGTGACCTATTGCGATCGCCTTTTGTCCGTCGTCGTCCGTCCGTAAACAATTTACATTTTCGACTTCTCCAAAACCCCTGAACCAATTTCAATGAAATTTTGCAGGGACCTTCCATGGACAAAGGTCAACAAAAATAGTTGCCCGTTTAGTCCTAAGTCACCAGGGGCCTGAGGGGCGGGGCCAAAAAGGGTAAAATTGACTAAAATTTCAAAAATCTTCTTCTCCAGAATCCCTGAACCAATTTCAATGCAATTTTGCTGGGACATTCCATGGACAAAGGTCAACAAAAATAGTTGCCGGTTTAGTCCTAAGTCACCAGGGGCCTGAGGGGCGGGGCCAAAGGGGCGGGGCCAAAAAGAGTCAAATTGACTAAAATTTCAAAAATCTTCTTCTCCAAAACCCCTGAACCAATTTCAATGAAATTTTGCAGGGACCTTCCATGGACAAAGGTCAACAAAAATAGTTGCCGGTTTAGTCCTACGCCCCCAGGGGCCTGAGGGGCGGGGCCAAAAAGGGTTGAATTGACTAAAATTTCAAAAATCTTCTTCTC